AAGAACATCGTTCGAACATCGTCGATGAGAAAAAAATAAATACAGTTGAATCGACATACAATTCTCTTTCTATCTGTCGTTACTGATCAAATTGTGTTATAAACAACGGGAAATCTTACAGCCGAAATCTGGTCAGTTCTTCCATCATGTGTTAAATAATGAGAAGTCCCTTTCCTCGGTTAGGAAGCGTCGGCAGGATATAGGAAAGATTTTCTTGCAAGACGGAGCTCTCGCATGTGCAGGAAATGGGATTCCTTGTCGACGGCAGAAGCGTGATCGGTGTATCGAATTTGGTAGCGCAGCCCCCCGATTACAAGGATGCGAACGTGCCCGTCGAGAAGTTTCGCCAACGAAGGCGGGATGGAAGGAGAGCGGAGAGGATAAATGTGGTCGAAGAAAGTTGGAGAACGGGGGGGGGAGGGGAGGGAGGGGGAGCATGGGAGACAGGAAAATAACGTCGTGGCGCTAACGGGCCGCTTAATGGATTAGGAGGAAGTAAACATCGTCAAAGAGAAGAAATTAACGAGAAGTTGGCGACCGATAATCCTCCTTCTATCCTCTATCCTTCGTCCTTCCTCCTGATTTTCTGCTCCGCGTATTGCGCTCGATGAAAATAATTTCCTAATTCGCCGGAGACAACTTTAAGAGAATGATGGTTTGTTCTAATTGGTTTAATGGTGAAAATAAATTTTGAGAGTATTTTCGTGTATCCGTTTGAAATGAAAATGAAGTTTTGAATTCTTCATCAAGATCGAGCGAAGTATCTTTAGCATTTTAATATGAGAATTCAAACATTCTAAAGATTGAAAAGATAGTAACTTTTTTTACAATAAATAAAGTTGCTTCAGAAAATGATAGAGAAAATATCAAAGATTAAATTTACAAAGTCTGAGATATCAAATCTAAAATAAATAAATTAATTATAAATTTTTATTTAGATCTAATATTTTGCTCTGCATTTTATTTCATTTTTAAATTGCAAAAGAATTTCCACGGAAATATCGCAGAGTACAAATTAAATCTCGTATTCAGATTTTACATATTTAAGATAACAGAGAGAGAGAGAGAAAGAGAGAGACTGTTAATATACAGGCAAAATAACAGATCGCTAACTATTTTTCAAGACATATTCCTTTGAGAGAGACCAGCTCGAGGACGACAACTTCATTCGTACATCCATTCATCTAGCGTGTAATAAGAGCTATATAATGACGGCGAGGCGCTCGCTGTTGCCGATCGTAAAATAATCATCGCCCGCGGGCAGCAGTTATGTGCTACCGGAGATATCGTCGCTTTCTCGGGAAATTTTGCGGAACAAATGAGGGTGGCGTGGTGTGAGGACGTAGTTGGGAAGGGAGCAACGCTACGTGGGCGAAGGTAACCGTGGCAGATAGCGGGAGATAAGTCGTGTAAAAGGTACCGGCGAATCTGCAACGATACTGCGGAAGCGAGGAGAGTGGAGAGGAAAGAGGTGAGCGATAGGGAAGCTCCATGAGGGAAATATAGCGGAAGGGGTGACACCGGTGCCATGAGAGATAGCGGAGACGTAGGAGGTCGCTGAAAAAGATCGAGAGACAAATCTACTTCGCGTACGGGGGAGTCGCCGGAGACGAAGGGGGTTTGAGAAATAGTCGCGCGAAAGAATTTCTTATTAGATTGAAAATTGAAATAAACTCGCAGTGACGTCGGTTGCATCGATCCTCGAAGCTACTACTATACCACGATCATTCCGAATCGGGTCACCGGAGGACAGATATCCTGACCCAGGATAGCTCCTGGAAACGTGACGTGCATCACGATGCACGTTATTTTTTTTTATGAGAACGCTTTTAACAATTTTTTTAGGGGTTTTATTGCGGTTAAATCCTGAAATTGCCGTATCTTAAGCAGTAGAATGATAATAGAATTCTAAACTTTTTGAATCCCGATAACTAAAATTTTTAGAACGGAAAATTTCAAGAATTCAATGGCAAAATGAAATAAAGATGAAATAAAGAAATAAAATATGAATAAAATTGGATGAAATATTTTTAATATATTTCTAAAGATAAAAACGAATATATAATGAATATATAATACAAATTCCGATTTGATAACAAAATGGTTGCTGCCGTATTAAATGTTGTTTCTCTTCTTCGAGTACTGCGCGCTACATTTTCGACAAAAATCAAGCTTTTGCCTGCTTGCGAAATCATCTGAAGCGTTTCGAAAGGCTTATTAGCAAATCGCTTTGTGCTAAGTGGTATTTTGCTCGCAAGCAATAACTCTATTCACATGTATCTCGTATAGGATGTAGCATCTCGTGGAAGCTAACTAACTATGATACTAATCGGATTTTCGGTACGAAATCTCTATGCAGGATTTCTGTCTCAGGATTGCAATCCACTACAAGCGCGCATCGCGTACTATTACCAAACATCAGGCATTTAAAGCTTATACCGAATATCACAAGTAGTAGTAACTTTATTACATTTTATTTCTATATAATTTTCAAAAGCTGGCGTTGCCATTTAAACTCGCGCGGAACACATATATCCATTTAAACTGGCTATTCAGAGAGATCGAACGTACACGCATCTCGCAACTCTATTTTCGAGATAAACAATTTTCACAATTTTTACCGTATCGTATATTTCAAAACATTTGGGGAGATGTAAACAGATCACTCGCGTGCGAGAAACACATCTAATATCTGTGGTTCCCGAGAAATACGTTCGGAAAGACGGCACTGCCAAGAGGTAAATTGTGAAATTTTTAGTAAAGTAAAAATTGGATTCGAAATCCACGAAATGACACGTAAAACTTAGAAGGATCGAGCTGTAAAAAGAAGGAAGATATTCTGATGATCTCGATAACGGTAGTCATAAAAGTGATCCCGAAAAATAAATTTCAGGAATGCTATCAGGCGCGAAAAAGCTGGTTTTCGTATATTGCCATAAAGGAAAAAAATAGTCAATACAATCAATTGCCAATAACGTACAGAGAAAAAAGAGTTTGTAAACTTTATTGTGAGTTTTTACACGTGCAATTTCACGAGTATCAGGATCAATAAAGTGGTCTTCTAATAACCGCGGAAGCAGAATTAAAAGCGCGACACTTCAACCGACGCAGGTAAATAAAATATGTTTATGTATTTTATTTATTGAATATTTTATTCGTTGAGTGCACGTAATAATTATTGATATTTTGCTGCTGATAAAATTCTATTTGGCGACTTTGATGAACAACAGCCAATAAAAGGCGTACGACGGTAATCCGGTACGACAATGGCCGTCGGCCGTGTAAAAATTCATGAACGGACGTTCGTGTGTCCTTTGGAGCAGACCATGAATGAACGAGAACCGATCGCCTAATCAAACTGAAAGATGCAACGCTACGCGACGACCCTTCTCTCTTTCTCACTTTTTTCCTTTGATTTAATCTGATTCGCAAACAGAACACTAAAAAACAACAGTTTGAAGTCAAGCTTTTCTTCATCAAAATTTTTTAAAGAAAGTTTAAAATTTTGTACATCGCCTGTACATATTATTAATACAATAGATGAGGAATAATTGACGTTTTTAATTAACAATTCTATTCTCCGACATATTTTCTGAAAGCTTATCTCAAGACGAGTCTAATAATACCAATTCCATTATTGAATGCCATGGAAAATCGCAAAATTTAATTTTGGTGGCTTGAAGTTAAGTTTAATTTATCAAATCACAATAATCAATACAATTCGTTGAAATCTTCTGAGCTAATTGGAGTCTCGAAGAAATTGTTGAATTTTGCAATTTTTGAACTTTGCGACTGCCTAAATATAATTTACATATACTGTATTGATTTCAGAGATGTTACTCAAGGAATTAATAATAAAATTAATATTGTTTGATTTGCCTCGAAATAAATTTTTAAGAAATATATCTTGCTTCTTTTGTAGATCACAAAATAGTTTAGTTAAAATGCCGGCTATTCTTCAGCGATTTTTTTTTAGAAATGTTCAGGTTGTTGAAACAATTTTTTCTCGAAATTTAATCCGATCGTTACGTCCAATATTTAGCAATAAACGGAGAAAAGTGGCGGAACGAATTCCGCTTCTCATCGGCAGAATGCTATTTCCGTTCTATAATCGAACGAGCCACATGATACTGCGTGCGCAGTAAGATCGTATCCTTTTCAAAAGATTCACGAATATTAAACGAGCTGCTGCGAACCGTGAATCAAAGCCGGGTTCCTTTGAGAACTGCCGCACACGATTCGGCTCGCTCCAGAGAATTTTGCGTCTCTTATAGCAATGGTAAAACAAGCGCTGGCTGGAATCAGCGAAACAGACGCGTAAGCAAATAAACTATATATGAGATCTCGACCTAGCAGACTGCGGGTATTCCTATGGCTGCTTATTAATGCATCAGTGAATGTCGCCTGGATTGACATAAGTTTACTAAGCTTATAAACAAATTAAAAATAGAATAATTTATAAATTAAAAAGCTAATCAACAATCCAAATTGGTTTGAAGGTAAAAATACTGAAAACCCGAAAACACTTGAAGAAAGAACTGGATTTTAGCAAGAGAAATCTCTTCGATCTGTATTACAAAATACAATTTGCTAGCTCCAAATTAGTTTTCTGCGTTGTCGCATTGTAACAAGATCGCCATGTAACTGAAACTGTAGCTTCAATGCTATCAGGAACGGATTATCGTGCAAATTCGAGATGGTAAAAGATTGTTCGTAATGCGATATTCAACTTGTCACTAATATGTTATATTTTATTACTTCGTCTATTTTATATATCGAGATATTTTGATATATCGTACGCACATAGAATTTTTTATCACATATATGTATACTTATAATTAGTTGAGACATTTACATTTACATTTCTTCGCTCTGACAAGAATTTTTTGTCAGAAGAAATGTATGAATAAATTTCCGAATAAATTTTTATTTCTAAATGAATAAAAATCACGATTTTATTCTGTGCATTCACACATAGTCGAACTCCATGCTTGTTGCAGGAATGAAACCGAAGATGAAAAATCACTACAGGGCGCACCAGCTGTCGGTTTGGCTGCGCCTCGTTCCTGAACTTCATCGCGCCGGAATGGAGGATGTCGATTCCAGGCATAATTTGTTTCGTGGCCACAGTGACCCTAGTTTATACGACGGCTTCGTAAGACCAGATCCTCTCAGCAGGATCAGCGAGGAGTTCAAGAGGAAGAACCTCAGCACGGATCCGCCGACCACGACGGATTACAGCATTACGACATGCGTCAGCCTTATCCAGAGCACCAATCTTCAAAACGTCCATAACGCCAGCACCGATACCTTAGCCAGCCTGGACGCAGCTGGGTAATTATCTTTCTTCAAGATAACGTAAAAGTCGCTTCAAACTTGTATAAGTTTCAATATTCAAGCTATACTTATCAGTTTGCGATGCATTATTTTAACGAAAATATCATAAGTTGAATGATTACGAGTCCGAATTGCTTTCTGAAACTTGCACGTTTTTGCGAAAGATGTAAGACGGATCGCGCAACAAATAAAATAAGCAATAAATGCAATTAAAAAGTCGAATCTTTATTGCAGCTTATACTTAAACTTTTGTGCCATAGCAATCTAAATAGAATATAATTATTATCGTAACAGTTTTAGTAAAACAGAATACACGATAGAATGTGTAGAAGTTAATAAATATCTTCTTTACGATTTGCTTTACAATTATTTAAAAAATTGGTAATATAAACACTAAGGTGCATTTCTTAGCTAGTTTCGAAAATTCAAACGTTACACACATATCGTATATATCTGTCTAATAAAAATTTTACGAGAAAGTGATATAAAGCGAATTGCTGGCTCGCAAAAAAATTTTACTATCGAGATATTTTGCTATCCGCATCACATAGATATATGTCTTAACGTGTGAGCTTTCGGAAATGAAAGATTTTTCGAAAATCTTATTTAACAATTAAAATACGAGATCAATACAAGAATCAAGTGATATATTATTTTTATATAACTAATAAAAAGAGATCGATTGAGAAGTCAAATCACTTTTTATGTCATATTTCTTGCGTTACAGGAATTATATTCTAATTTCTAATATTTAATATTAATCCTTTTTATACTTTTCACCGAGATCTAAGATATTGCACAGTTTTTCCAGCGTCATTGATTAAAAAATTCCTTACATGTGCAGTTATGCGGCGTATTCGACGGCTTTGAGCGTGACAATCGCGATCGGCTGCAGCCTGCTGATCCTGAACGTCCTAATATTCGCGGGCGTCTATTATCAGAGAGATAAAACGCGCCTCGAGGTAAAGAGCCTCCAGCAGCAACAGATGCTGAATCAACAATGCGGTCCTCGCGGTTTCACCGAACTGAAACAACCACCGCCTCCACACTCTCATTACGCCGGTGCAGGCCAAGTGATTGTCGACGTTGAAAATGAAATGTTAAGAAGGTATCAAAACAGCGTTCTAATGTTTTATTTATTACCGAGTGTGTGCAACATCAATTGTACATTTTCCATCGATCAGTAAAATTGAAAAATCTTTAAAAAGATAAAGATACATTCGAAAATTATAGCATCGCATGACAAACTTGTTGGAAAAAGAAAAGAATATATAAATTTTATTGATATGAAATTTTTGTTCATTTTGCATTACTGCATTAATATTGTAAATTTGTCTCATCACAGCCGTGTTTAATTTCTTCCGTTTCTATTATTTTAGGAATGTAATGAAAGGGCCTCCCAGCGATCCGAACACTGCTTTCCAAGGCCAAGGAACTCATACACTGCCTCATCAACATCATTATCAGAAACAACATCAACAACAACACGCAACTCTTCCTCGAGCTTCAGTTATTCAAGACTTAAATACGCAAACTCAAGTGAGTGATCTTGGAAAATTTGGAAAAACATCTATATATTTTACAGTCTTCTTTTTTATTTACATTTCGGAATTTCATCCTAATTGGAGAATAAGAAAACATTAAGTGATTTTGTAAAAATTAATAACTTCTCTCAGTGCACACGTAATATTTTCTCTAATAAAGTGCGTTGCAAAGTCTCAAACTTTTCCAACGTAAAAATTTATTATCTGAGTAAGGCATAACGTAATAGGAATTATGATCATAAAGTATGAGACGCTTCTGCTGCCTTGCATATATTGTGTCTGGCCGCTTTAGTACTCCGCGAAACTTTTTTAATAGGATTACGAATCTAACACTTTTAAAATGCATCGTAAAAACCTTTGTTTTTTACGTGAAAATAGGAAGTAATGCTCTTGCTTGCGAATACTTTACAACTAATATTAGTGAATAATTTTATTTTGGATTTTGCTGGGGTTTTTTTTTTTTAATTTTCCAAACTGACTCGCATGTTCTTTTCAGGGTCCTCCGAATGGATCCATCCACTTGACAGTTCCACGAGCTCCTCCGCCGCCCAGAGCGAAGAGTCCGCCGGAGAATCAGCCTCTTCTACAAAGCGCGACGGTTTCGAGTCGCGTGTCACAGGCGACAATGAGCGAAATGCGAGTGTGATGCTTGGACCCCCCTCCGAAGCCAGTCGTCCCAGATGTCCTCACGGCGTCAACCTTGCTCTAGGTGACTCGCCACAGATCTGTTGAAGTAGCCCTGAAGGGCTACTGACTCTTCGACAGGTCAAAGGATATCCCGGGGAACGTGAGCTCTGGACGAACGGAGGGGGGTGTTGGAGAAGAGTTTTCTCATTAATGAAGGATGATCGAGCCAAGATTGCGTCTACCGAATACGATAGAGAGAAGCCGTTAAAAGTGTCGTAAACTTGGAAGTGCGAAGACTGCACGTTGAGACAGAAAAATTCAAGGATAAAAAATTCCAGATGCATTTTTACGGAACAAAATAACGGAGTCTACTCCAATTTTCTAACATTATAATTTTATTAAACAAAACAGCCAATACAGCTTACAGTTTGGAAAAGACGTGAAAAGTTTTTAAGAAAAATTGTTAATCTTAATAATTGAACCAATTGAACGTTTTTAATAGAAATAAACGAAAGAAGAGAACTGAAATATTGACTGCACCTTACTTGAAACTCTTTGTGATAATCGGTAGACGCTCAAACATTAAGAGAGAAAAAAGACAACAAATCAGGATGGCCATCCTGGATCAATCAAAAAACTTCAATCAAATTGCGCGACGGAATTAAACGCAATGTATTCCGCTAGTTAGTCGACAATGAAGAATCTAGTCGTTAAAGAAAACGAGGAAAGTGATGGACGGCTCAACGTGAATCGACGACGATGAAGACATGTAAAAAAGAAATACTAGCCACTACGATGTTAGATGTTCCTTGTACATAACACGAATTTATACCATAAGGACGCCAAAGTTTGCTACTTCTAAGAGAACTGTATTTGCATCATGCGTATCGTTTATTATCCCATTTCTCGGTTGATGTGTCGATATCCACGCGCAATGTCATGTAAAATGTTGGAAAACGATTGCACAAGAGAGACATTTTGGAGGCGTAATAAGCGAGATTGTTTGTCGACAACAATGATTTTTAAATTTATGAAACTTTCAGTTTTATTACCTTTCTTTGAATCTTCCTAAATTTTTAAGCCCGTTTTAGGCGATTTATAATTTGCGACAGAAAGAGTTTAAAATAGAAATATATTTTTAATGTTACACATTTCAGTGCGTGTGTGTATTCTGATTTTTCAAATGTTTCTCGTATTATTCTAAATGCCGATAATGCCTTACATAGCTTTGAATTGATCAATCAACTGTTCAACCAACTAACAAGTAATTTGAATATCTAGATTTTTTAACCAAGTCATTATACGCACAAATATACAAACACGATATGTTTGATCCGAAAATGACTTGCAAAAGCATCAATGATATGTGTAGACAGTACATAAAATTACAAATAGAATTTTATTTAATAACAAAAAATCGAATCTCGAATTGTAGTGCAAATTATAGACTGTCTAAAATGGTCTTTAAATCTTTTGATATATTGATGGGAATAAAAGGCTAATTATTACTTTTGTGACATTTTAACGATATGTTTTTATTTAAAATTTATTTATTTCTAAAATTCGGTTGTTTCTAATCTTACTATTTGAAATAAAATTAATTCAAATAAACTGTGTCAATGTGCCAGCAATATCGCTTATTATTAGTGCTCTAATTAGGCCATGCAGGTGACTGTTGTGAACGTGTATGTGTATGTATATGAATTATGATGCACGATACGCACATAGTATGATTTTCGATAATCCTCTGCACATATATGAACGTATATGTGTTTTATGTATACAAGGGATGACCAATATATTTTAAGCCGTTTTTATAAATATTTTTTATTTCTCTATTTCAGCGTATTAATTCTTTATGTCAAATATGAGCTATTATAAACAAAATATAAACGATATTTTTTTGAATTTTTAAAATTTTGCAAAGTGGTCATCCTTGAAGCTTTTTGAGGGAAAATCAAAATAAAGGGACATTTTTGATTTTTTTAAATTTAGAAATCAAAAAATGCAAAATTTTCCCTTTACTTTTTGACTTTCCCTAATACATTCGATTATGCTATTCTAAAAAAAAAATCCAACTTCCTGCGGACCTATTATCCTTCTCGTAAAATATCGTAAAGCAATCCAATCTAATTTAATTTGTGATATCGACCAATTTAATTATGTGGTATCCACTTTTCCAAGTTCTAATTTCATTGAATACACGATATATGGTTATTCTTTTTATTTTTTTTATAAATATACATATATATAGGTGTAAAATAAAGACAAGCGTAAATCTGTTATACGTAATACACTGCCACAAGACTACAGGAATGAACAGCTCACAAGAGAATTGCGATTCTTTTCACCTTTCATGAAAGAATTGTTTTAAATAATTTTGCAAAATAGATTAATTTATTTATTTAAACGTATTATTTAATTACACATATGTATACGCGTATTAGTGGAAAATATGTGAAAATTTTAAAAGTTAACTCGCTAATTAAACAAGAGCTTTCTTTAATTTCAAGAATCTTTTCATAAAATTAATAAGTTTTCAAAGATGAAAAGAATCAATAAACAGAGTGTTATCAAAATCCTCTTTGCAGACTCGACTTATCGATAAAACGATAGAGGAAAGTCAAAGTTTTGTACATACGCACCTTTGCTAAATGTGATATCAAAGGGCGCATCTTGCTTACTTTCTTCGCAATACGTCGATCGCGGCCACGAAGTGGCTTAGTTAACTCCTGGAATCCTTGAATCCTTGGATCCTCATCAAAGGATCTTACCGTCCTAGAAGGATCTCCGACTGTACTTTTGTAATTGAAACAAACCCGTGCTCATAGAGCGAAAGGATCTTAAATTGGCCACAGAAATTGTTGCTCATAAACGAGGATAAGGAAAGGATGCAAAAATATCTTGAGGGGCCGTGATGTCTTGCGGAAATGGCAAACCGGTTTAATTGTGCTCGAAATTGGAGTTTTAAAAAACAAAAGAACGCGAAAAAAACGATGTTATCTCGCCGAACGTAAATTTTAGCAGAATTTGCGAGTGTAAACTAAATATCGTGGGCGTTGTACGATATCATCATCAAGTATGGGACAATCTGAATATATTAAAGATTAAGGAACAGAACTGGTAATAGTAATATAAAAAGTTGGCGGAAGAAAAGAAGAGAAGGAGAGAAAGAAATTGAAAAAGGAGAATACGCCGGACAGTTAAGCAGATGTTTAAGAAATTTAAATAACATATTATAAATATATATATATATATATATATATTATACACATATTACACATTGTAATAAATTATTATGACGGATATTATTATATTTATGTGAGACCTTTAGCTGGCCTCGCGCTCTCCTAGAATGATACCTCGATTATACTTTCCGGCCGAGGGCGAGGCTACCTGTTATGTTTAATGTTTTGTTGTCAAATTGTAAATATATAACGGTATATATGGAAATGCTGATCGTGTTATATGTATTTATTATATCCATTACATGTTCTCAACCCTTTTGCACACTGTTTTACGTATGCATTTATACACTACTCCATAAAAAAAAATAGAAAACGTAGGATTGGTTTTAAAATCGCGTAACTCGGCCAGAAAAAATTGTAGCGAAGTTTGAGAAAACACATTTTGTAGATAAAATGTAACTTTTGACACACATGAATTTTGTGAGAAAAATTTTTTTATTAATAACAAAACAATGTTGTTCTTTTATCAAGCTTCAAAGTGTAAAGATAAAAAATTTTTGGAAAACGGCCTAAAGCACGTGAAAGTACAAGTTTCAAGCTTTAAAATTCTTTTTTAATTTTTGATCTACGATGATTTTTTACTGAGTTACAGCGATTTGAAAATTGATCAATTTTAAGCGTCTCAACGCTTGACGCGGCAGAGCAGTGCGGCCGAGAACGGCTGAGTGTCCGCCATTGATACGCACGGTGCCGTATAAATGGCGCACGCTCCGCCAGTCTGCGTCCGCGCATCGAGACGTTCGGACGCTTAAAATTGACCAATTTTCAAACTGCTGTAACTCGGCGAAAAATCATCGTAGATCAAAAATTAAAAAAGCATTTTAAAGCTTAAAGTTTTGCTTTTATTTGTTTTTATAAATAATTTATTTTCACAATGCTGAGCTCAAAAGAAGAACACAGTGTTTTGTTCTTAAAATTACGTACTTTCAACATTCTGCAGCTGAATGAAAAAATGTTTGTCGTAAAATTTATGACAAGTGTCGAGAACCACAATATTTTATCCACGAAATGCACGTAAAAAATGCTGGTTTAGTTTCAAAATCGCATAGCATGTTGAAAATACGTAATTTTAAGAAACAAAATAATGTGTTTTTTTTTATGTTCTGAAGTGTAAAGAGTATTTTCTATTTTTTGTGAGTAGTTCTATTTATAATATTTTTTATGTTTAAAAATTATTCCACAAGAAAAAAGCTCACCAAAAATTAACTTTTAGATGTTTTGGTGTTCATAATGTTTAATTCTCGAGAACTTTGTTTAAATTTCTTTATACTATTTATTATATTAATATTAATTGTATTTATTCTTGTAACGTGCAAATTTTATTCTTGCACTTACACATTTGTACATATTTATTGATAACAAAATATTAGCATTTAGATTACAGATTACAGATAAAATTGAATGTATTTTTTTAAATAATTAAATCCGTATATAGAAAACACGCGCGTATTGCTAATTCACAATTGTAACAGAGATAGGTAAATGGTAATGTCGTGTACCAACAATGTGTAATGAATGTGTGGCCACTTATCTACCTGTTCATTAGTCGCGACTAATGAACAAAGGTAGATAAGTGTTCAGCAATGAACATTTACATGATCTTTAGACGGTATAAGCTAAAACGGTACAAGTTCACAAAATTCATGCAAACAGAAGATGAAAAGTTCAAGTCCAACTTTATCTATACAAGGTACGTGAACCAGAAGAATAAAAAAAAAATGCCAATATTATTATATATTTTATAAAAAACAATTTCCAATATAAGCAAATAATATAATTTTGTTCTAATTTTATATAATTTATTTTAATTTTATAATAATATTTATTTTATATATAGTTTATAGTTTTATTTTATATATAGTTTATGGTTTATCAATCTATATTATTTTATATATGTAATCTAATTTTTTCATAAAATTATTTATATATAAAGTTACATATATCTGAATTTATATGAAAATAGAATATTTATGAAAAAGATGAGATATCAATAAGTTTGTAAAATTTCTTGATGCCAAAAGTTTGCAGTTTTTGATTAAATTTTAATTAACTGTAAAAATTCTGTTATAACAGAAACAATTCATCAAACTTATTCTTTACAAATTAATGATGCAAGTGATTTTTATGCGCCACATGTCTGCTACGTAAAATGCATATTGATGCGTAATGATATTATCAGATAAAATAGGTAACTTGATATGATATCTGCTCGTTAATATGCAGAAACGTTTGTATTTTAATGAATACAATCTGCCCACACAACGCTCATAAAACAATATTTAAAATAAAATCAATTATTATTCTCTTTAATTAAATGTAATAAAAAGGAAGCTTCGATATGAAGATTCCATATTTAGCACTCCATAAATCTTTTAGATTTTAATAATTATTTTAAAACATTATTGGTTAATACGTATTAAATCTTAATTCTATGAATTATTACATTCTGAAATCAAATTTTTCTCTTTTTTCTAGCGTTCCCACGCGAATTCTGTCAATCGAGTAGAATAAATCAGTACATACCGATGCACGATTGCTGAAGGAATTCTTCCTGCTCGAAAGATTTTTTTCATGTCTGATGATGAGACTTGCTGAAAGTGCCGATGATACGCGGACAAATGCATTCAGCTTATCTACGAGCACCCGTTGTATCAATCTGGTTAGCGGATCATCTTAAACATCGCCCGGGGTGTACTTTTACGAGGTGCGCATTCGTTACCCATTAAAGTAAATATAGTATGTGTGGTCTTGTTCCCCTCGCTCTGCATGTGAAACCAATATTCATGTGCACAAGCTATTCAGTGTGTGTACCCGACCGTAATTGAATTATCATCGTATGTCTCCATAAGAGATAGTCAGCTCGCCATAACGAGCGCGCTACGCGTCACAAGTTGTCACGCCGCAGTAGGATTAACATTGAGCGGATTAACAGCATTAACCACTCCGGCGTCTTATCGATTATGCCTATCAGCCATCCAGACCTCATATTTCTGCCGTTAGAATCATTCCTTCCAACACTTTTTTGTCTCATCCTGTCATAAGTGTCTATTTTTGCGAAAATTTTAGAACTCTGAAATATTTTATATGTGGTTATTACATATTTTTTTGTATATTATTGAATAATTTTCTTGACTTTACGTAAATTGCAAATATTTTTTCAAGTACTTCTTAATACGCTAAAATTTTATTAGACCAATTTAAAAAATTATGAGATTATAAAAAGATTCTATTCTGAATTGCAGTTTGTTCGGATTTTAAAAGTTATTTGTAATTTTAAAAGGTGCACGAATTTTACATTAAATCTTGTATTTAAATATTGCAGAATTTTTTTTAAAATATTCAGAAATTAGAATATTCAAAATAATTACAAAATAATTGTAAGGGCCATAAGAAAATTAAACTTGAAAATTATGCTTTCATTCTTGTTTCTTATTAGAATGAGTTGGGTTTCTTGGGTGTCTTGTGGGTGTTAATTGGTGGTCGGGGAGGAGCTTTCATTAGGGATTTCGCGATGGCTCGGCGGTAGGAAACGAATGCGACGAAGCTGCTGCGAACAGTAGCGACCAAGAAGAAGAACATAAGGAACAGGAAGAGGGAATCAAAGAGAGAAAGAGAAAGATATATATATATATATGTGTGTAGAAGGGGCATTCCTGACTGGCAGCCTACCACCAATGTCTCGTTTACCATAATACAAGGCCTTTGCTGAGGGCAGCACGTCGTTCTCGACCCTGCAAACAGTAGCGATATATCGAAGGCCTGCAAAAAGTTCTGGATATCCCTTTGACACATCCATATCCCTTTGGTCTCTCCTTCGTTCTATTATAAAACGCTATACTGGAACACTCGAAAATTTTTCCGCTTGATAAACGTCATTGCAATTATTGTAATTAATTGCTAGTTTTAGAAATTGCCATTCTAGCAGTAAAAACTGTTTCACCAATTTGACAGTCTTTTTGGAATTCTAAAAATTTTGATTTCCTACATCGTGAGATCTTTTCAGAAATTAAATTTCTCGCATTCTGATTTATTAATTAAAAAATGAAAAATTTTAAGCGGTCCCTGCGAAAATATAACAATTTCCTATCTTGAATAACCAATTATATAATTAGTTTTGTAGAGATAAGTTAATATTTCACAATGATAAGCGTTATATCTCGATTATAAGGTGCACATTGTTCACCTCTTTCTATTTTCATGAAATAATTTGACACATCTCGTATTTTTTCTATCAATTAATAAAAATGTAATTTATTCATTTGATTGATGACAGGCAATAATAATTTTAAACTTGGCACTTGCTCACATTTCCTTGTCAACGCGATCGTTACCGGTTGATGTTCGTATTACTGCAGTAAAAGGCTATCGCATTATGCCTTGGGAACTTGCGGCGAGGGTGATGATGATGCAAGAAAGTCTTCAATCGGCTGTTTCGTTCACGACCTTCGCGATAGACGAAGCAATTGTCGAGTGATCATTCATGGTGACCCAACACAACCTCGGGACCAACGTGTCACCTGAAAGGATTAGTCCTCCGAGAATATGACGTGAGATTAATTTTCGCTTCATCAGCAGCTACTTGACCGTTTGGAAGATTGTTATTTTATGTTTAAATCTTGTTGCAAAATGTATTAAATCCGAAAATTTTGGAAACAAAAATTTAGAAAATTGCAGACTGCTTAAATTTCCATTCGTTTATCGTCTACATTTTTCTTGATAATAAATTTTCAACGATCGCTCGACAATTGGAATCGAAATTGGCGGAGGAATAAATACTTGGAAAGGAGGGAAGCTTCGAAAAAGAAGTAAAAATGACGAAAAGTTCCAGATGGTCATGTTTTTGGCGCTGTGGGCCCCTTGACGGACCTCTGTCTCCCTTCCATCGCGAAGGACGCGGAGCATCCTCCCCTCTCCCTTCGTCCTCCTTCTACTTCTCTTTCGGCCTCTGCTGTCCCTTACCATTTCAACTCTCCTGTCTTCGTTTCACCCGGCCGTGCGATCCGCACACAGCACTTCTTCTTCAGTGGCCGGTGGTACCACTCTCGGCTAGATCTCGCGCCAAGTACATCTCCTCCTGTTCTTTCACCACCGCCGACAAGGACGTCCAAGTAACGTCCTCGACGCAGAGTGATCTTGCCTCGCCGGGACCTTTATCTGTGACCCTGTTGGAGAACCAACCCTGCTTAGCTTAGTCCCGGC